ATTGTGATCTATGAGTCTACCCCTAAATAAAGACCCCTTTATTATACTTAATTCTGAGCTAGTGTGAGATTACTTTATAGTGTCCATCTTCCTACTTTGATTTTCACCAGTGTTAGATGTTGTCATTTATTTTCATTTTTATTTCATTATTATTATTGAATATATGTGTGCACAAGTGCATGTATGCAGAAACCAGAGGACAACCTTGACCCTCATAGGAAAACAGTGGGCACAGTTATCTCTTTTTATTTATTTATTTTTTAATTTTTGAGACAGGCTTTCACCACTTTGGCTAGGCTGACTAGCTAGTGACCCCCGTGAATCTGCTTGTTTCAACATCACCAGATAACACGTGTATGCCACCCCCACCCAGCCAGTTTTATAACAGGGTTTTGGGTATTAGACTCAGGTCCTCATGCTTGCAAGCAAAATCTTTACTGACTGAGCCATCTCCCTAGCTTTTATATCTAATGAGATCTTGTTTCAAAAATCCTCCTAAATAGGGGCTGGAGAGATGGTTCAACAGTTAAGAACATAGGTTTAATTCTCAGCACCGATATGATGGTCCACAGCCATTTGTAACTCCAGTTATATGGGATGTAAGGCCCTCTTCTGGTCCATGCAGGTATTGCACTCATATGGTGCATATACATGCATGCTTGTTAGACATCTATACATTTAATATTACAATAAAGATGAATTTAACCCCTCCATCAAGCAAGTAACAATAATGAAAAAAAGCTATAATTGAAATAACCTGGGTAAATATAGGGAGGCCAATGGTAGCTGCTCTAGCCCCTTCCACCACAGAGCTACCACAAATCATGCTAATGCAAAAATGGCTCTGTGGTGGTTTGAAACAAAATCTCCCCCAACGGGAGTGGCACTATTAGGAGATGTGGCTTTGTTGGAGTGGGTATGGCCTTGTTGGAGGAAGTGTGTCACTGTGGGCTTGTCATATATGCTCAAGTCACGTTCAGTGAGATAGACTACTTCCTGTTGCCTGCAAGATGTAGAACTCTCGACTACTTCTCCAGCACTATGTCTGCCTGCACACCACTATGTTCCACTATGATGAAAATGGACTGAACTCCTAAACTGTTTTTCTTTATATTAGTTGCCATGGTCACAGCAGTAGAAATCCTAATTAAGATAACTTCTTATCTTTTAAGACTTTTTATTGAATACATCAAGTTTCTATCAAGGCTTTAGTGAAATTGCAGAAGGAAGCAACACAGATAGATAACTTGTCCAGGTAACGAGAGATGCTAGCCCATCTGTGTGTGTCTGTGACAAGTAGTGCAGATATAAAACTGGCAAATTTCATCCTCTTATGGCCTTCTTAGCAAGGAAAACAGAAAGATGGGAGCCAGTGTGTATCTGGCCCACCTGAGACACAGCTCTGTTGACAGGGGTCAGGGCCAGGTTTTGACTTCTGCTGACACCGAAGCTTTCAAAAATGGAAAGTCTGAGTTACTTCCCATTTGTCTCAGGACAGTACAAGTATTTAATGGGGGCTTCAAGTTTCTGGAAGGGAGAATAGTCTTCTTTAAATCATCTTTAGGGGACTATCATTATTGCCAGACCAAAAAGCCCCGACACCTTTTCCTCCCTTCTTCTCTCCTTTTCTTTCAATCTCTCTTTGTCTCTCTCACGATCTCTCTCTCCCTTTTTGTAAGCTACTCTAAGGAGTTAGTGGGCATTGAGCTTCCAGGGACAAATAAATGAATGGGTTGCTGAGAGACTGGCTTTGTCCAGACACTTGCTCTGTCTGGCTATGTTACAGGGCAGCCTGAGTCTCTCACCAAATGTCAGCCCTGTGCTTTGGGACATTACCAACTGCCAGAACCATAAACCAGGTTGCGATGGTTAAAAATTGGTTTTCAGGATCTAGCATCAGCTAGGAAACACGCCTCTGGGCATGTCTGTGAAGAAATTTCTAGACTAGGTTAACGGAGGCAAGAAGACCCACCTTAAGTGTGTGAGGTACTATCCCATTGCCTGGGTCCCAGACTGAGCATGAAGGAAAAACTCAGTTGAGCATCAGACTTCATCCTTCTTTGCTTCCTAACTGTGGGTGCAATGTGACCTCTGTCTCAAGCTTTTGCTACCATGCCTTCTCTTCCATGATGAACTGCACCCTCAAAATGGAGCCAACGGGGCCGGAGAGATAGCTCAGTTGGTAGGAGCACTGGCTGCTTCTCCAGAGAACCTGGTTTGATTCCCAGCACCCACATGGTGGCTCATAGCCATCTGTAACTCCAGTTCCAAGGAATCTGATGGTGTCTTCAGGCATCAGGGACTTAAGGGGAGCACAGACATACATGCAAGCAAAACACCCATACACATAAAATAAAATAGAACTTTAGGGAAGAAATTAAGCCAAAATGAGTCTTTAAACAAGTAGCTTACACACAGGTTAGCTGTTATTGTTTGTAAATTACCAGTTTCAGCTATTTTATTATAGCAACAGAAAATGGACGCAGACACCGTCAAGTTCAAATATGTTAAGTTGTTCCTCCAAAACCACCAGAGGATCTTGGAAGAGCCCTAAAGGACAGAGTGACACTGTGAAGGACAGCCAGGGTTGTTTACCTGCCTGGGATGAATACAGGGTTCAAAAGGCCTGGAGACTAGCACCACAGACCTAAGCCTCCATCCCTACACAGTAGTTTTCCAAGTGTGGCCAGGCCCACACTCTCTTCTCCAGAGCATACTTCTCAAGGGAAAGTGCCAACACACTGGGCTGGTACCAGGGCTCATTACCATGTGGGCTTACTAGCAGTGGGTAACTTCGTGTCAGAGAACGTCTGTGTTCACTGCCTTCAGTTTGATGGCTTCTGTATTGTTTGCTTCCTGTGGCTGGGATAAAAACACCCTGGTGAAGGCGGCTTGAGTAAGGGTTCATCTGGCTCGCGATTCCGGGTTAAAGTCCACTGTTGTAGGGAAGTGAAGGGAACAAGAACTCAGGGCAGCTGTCACATCCACAGTTCAGAGCACCGAGACATGAGCGAACAGAGGCAGTTTACACTCTGCTTGCTTTCTCGTCTGTTGCACAGTCCGGGAGGGACCCAAACTGAGAGAATGATGCTATGTGCGCACAGACTGCATCTTCCCATAGAAATCCACACAGTCAAGGCAGTCCCCTCCAGACACGGCTAAAGGCCAACCTGGTCAACCCCTTACTGAGCCTCCCTTCCCAAAAGATTCTAGATTATGTCAGGCTGACAATCAAAACCAACCATCACAGCCACCCTGAAGGAGAGTGAAAATGTTCTACTGTTGCCTGGGAGCCTGGTGATACAGAGCCTTAGTTACCTCCCCTTCTTGTGACAATACACCCAACAAAAGCAGCTCCCAGAAGGCTTTGTTTTGGCCCACACCTCCAGTCCTCTTGTCATAGCTCTGGGGAAAGCATGGAGGAGGGGCTTGAGGCCACCGGTCCCATTGTGTCCACAGGCAGGAAGCAGCGAGCGACGAAGGCTGGTATTTAGTTGAAGTCTCATTTTTATTCAGTCCAGAACCCCAGTGCAGGGACTAGTGCCTCCCACATCTAAGGGGGGGGTCACCTCTCATCTCAGTGAACGCAAGCTAGAAAGCCCCTCACAGACGTGCCTCGAGGCTCGCCTCCTCTCTAGCTGATTCGAGATCCTGTTGATAGTCAGTATTCATCTCACAGGAGTCAGCTAAGGCTTTTTGTATTCTCCTTCATTCTGTAAAACTCTTTCTCTTCTTCCTTTCTTCCTCCCAATATTCTTTCCTTTCCCCTTCCTCATATCGTGTGTGTGTGTGTGTGTGTGTGTGTGCAATAATTTTTTAGACACGGCCTCACTATGTAGTTTTGGCTGTCCTGGAACTCACTATCTCACTGTGTAGACCAGTCTGGCTTTGAACTCACAGAGGTCCATCTGCCTTTGCCTGCTGAGTTCTGGGATTAAAGGCATGCATCACAACACCTGGATATGTACATTTTAATGTAAAGCTTAAGTAGCCAATAATAAATAAATAAACTGCTGTATCAGAAGACAGGAGGAAACATAAAACTAGGGTCTCAGTATGTAGTCCACAACATCCTTAAACTCACCATCCTCCTGCCTCAGTCTGCCCAGTGCCATAATTACAGGCACGAGTCACTATATTCTGTGCATATATAAAATGTTAAATATAATATATACATACACATACTACATACATAATATATAGCATTACATTATATAAAACACATTATATAATACTATACATTATTACATTATATATCGTGTATAATGTTTGTAATATATTATATGTTATATAATACTATGAATTATTGGGGGGGGGAGGTCTGAGTGGCTGGTTGTGTGCCTTGGATTTGAATCTTTAACCCTGGTCACTCAAACTCATATCCTGTGGCTTCTGTCACAGCCCTGGCCAACCTGGGATGTTACAGAGCAAGAGAAGATGTTGTTTCTCTCACTGTGTTTTACCTAGTTGAAAGGTCAGAGATAAATCAGGCCAGGTCGAAGGTGCCCTGTAGTTCTCCAGCTCGCTGGAGGAGCTGCCTAGCCTGCACAGCGGGTTGGCTGCGCTTTAAGGATCAGACAACAGGAGAAGGGCGGAACCAGCGCTTTAGCCTCGACTGCTAGTGACGGTCCCACCACGGTGTGCTAATGTCACGCTTTGGGCCTAAGCGCGACCTAATTGTCCCTTGTGGGGCCTTAGAATCACGACCCTGCGCGCCTAGGCCCCTCCCTCCTAGAGCGGCGGGCAAAGCCGGCTCCGCCAGGCGCCCCCTGGCTGCACGCCTCGCGCTGAGTCAGCTGTGAGTCAGTGTCCCCTGACCGCGCCACGTCCTGCTCCAGGGGGACACAGAGAGAGGGCTGGAAAGGAGCCAATGGAGGAGCAGAGTTACCCATTAACCAGCTTGTCGCTCCAGCAACTTTCTCGGAAGTCAGGCCTGCGCATTTATTGCAGGAATGAGACCTCATCCGTAGAGCAGGGCAGACAGCCTTGGTGACCCAAGTTGCCGCTGTGTTTAGAGTCCACACTGGCGTCTGGCAGTGTCTTTAATCTTCAGCCAGCAGTAAGAAATACGTTTTACAATGAATGCAACAAAGTCTCACAAAACCTTCTTTAATTTTAGTTCTTTTTAATCATCATGAACTCTTAATATCTCGATGACCTATTAATAGGTTGTAACCTGTAGAATTGGTTCTGCAAGGCTCTTCCCTGTTTGCTCCAACTGTTCTCAGCCCAAGCTGGCCTAACTTCCTAGGCTGCCAAGGGACGACCTTGAACTTCAGTACCTCCCGGCTCCACCTTGTAAGTCTTGGCACTGCGGGCATTCACGATCAGCCTGGCTTTATGGCATGCTCAGGTGGAACCCAGGGATTCATGCATTCTGTTAATTCAGCTGCATCTCCAACCCTGTCCTTACGCACAGCAACGGGAAGGACCTCACAGCTGACCCTCCTGCTGAGGCTGTCTGGATTCAGTTGTTAGGATTTATTTCTACTCCTTTGACCCGGAGATGGACCCCGGACCGGCAGAAGCAATGAGTACTTGTTTGTGTTGGTTTAAGGTACAGGGAATCCTGGTGAGTGGGACTTGAAAGAGGACTTACTTTCTTATACACTTTGTTGCCGCTGGAATGCTAGTTACACATCCATTGCCCAAGCAGTTAGGTTAGGAAGCCTTTCAAACCTACTCAGAGAAGTCAGAAACAATGTACCCTACAACATTATCCGCCAACTCATCACACGAGTTTTCCGGCCTCTACTCCTCACCCACCGGTAACCTCCTCGGATGGGTGCCTCCCGCTATGAAATAAAAACCTGGCACCCTGGTTTCTAAATTGAATTCCCCTTTGGGTCATGCTCTCTGGTTCGAGAGAACTTGTGCCTCTGAGTGGATGACCTGGGGTGCTGGTCGACTTGTCCTGGAGACACCCACCTGGTCTAGATGCGATGGACTTCCTAGGATCCCCTCATTGGCTCTGTCCTGTCATATTATCTCCGAAAGGAAAGGTTCAACCGTACCTTTGGCTGTTAGTCACAGCGCTAGACAATGTGATTGTCTATAGGACTTTTGGAGAAGATGGAACAACTATGGCACCCTTCTAATTTGGACTCACTGCCTGCCTTAACCCTCTCTATACGCTACTGAATGGGATTCCCTCAATTTAAGAGAATGGGGGCGCTTTAAAATGACTTGCGCAGATTGTATCCTCTCCGATTGTGTAAGCTCTTCCTCTGCTTCTCAGAGCCCTCTTGCTCTGGCAGACTTCCTTTGTTACGGTAGCTGTGCACTTTTATGGTGTATGATAGGGTGATTACAGACTACAGGTTCTCCTTGAACTGCATCAGGCTCTTACTAGAAAGCAGAGATTGTTGGGTCAGATTTCAGCAGCATTTTTGTAATAGTCACTGCGCTACCTTCTGCAGCTTCTTCTGATAATACTTCTGGAGAGAATAAGATCACTATCACAATTCTTTGAGCCAAATTTGAAGCAAGCTTTATTCGATACAGGCTAGGACGATGAACAGTGGCCAGATCCAAACCTGAGATTCCCAGAGTACGGCATTGAATTATGTCAGCTAGGAGCTTAGAGAAGCAAAACCCAGCAGGCTACGCACTGCCTTCACCCAATCAGGGGCAAGCCTACATGCTGACACACTTTCTGCCTATGCACCTCCAGCCTAGGTGTAATCAGGCACATCCTGTGCAGTTGGGGCAACCAGCCTTGTTTACAGAAGCGAAAACACGTGGCTTGTTGTCTTACATAAATAGCAGCCCCAGAATTCCAGCAAGTTATCTGTCCTTGGGCAAGCAGGGCTTACCTTTAGAGGGTTCTTTTTGTTTTGTTTTAAAGATCTCTTAAGCACAGCAGTTTAAACTTAAAACACAACATTAGCCCTCACACTTCCATAGGGGCCCTTACCCAACAAGTGCAGACTAATCAGCTTCTTTGGCAACACAAAGAGGCTCCTAGTTAAAGGCTCAGAAACTGTGGTGTTGCATTTAGGAGCTGCGGGACAAACTACGCAACATCAGTTAACTTTCCCGTGTCAGGCTGGCTTCAGGTATGTCTGCGTTACTCCATTCAGCTGCAACAAATCTAAATAAAAATGAGATACAATTAAAAATCACTTACAAAGCCAAGGGTGATGGCTCATGCCTTTAACTCTAGTACTCAGGAGGCGGAGGCAGGAGGATCTCTGAATTTGAAGCCAGACTCACTGCATAGTGAAGTCTAGGACAGGCAGGACTAACCTGACATTTCCCGCTCGAAGAGACTGGAGTTATCAGTCTCGAGGTCAGCGTGTGCTTGGTCTGGGTCACACTTGAGATAACCTGTGTTCCCTTTGTGCAGCCTTACTTGATGAGTTTCCTGCTGACTCCAGCCCATTTTATGACAGCTTCGTGCTGACTGTCCCATCTCCCCCTGTAAACTGTATATGAGACACAGTACTTCCTAATACACTCGCTCAGCACGAGCCATCCACATATGCAACACCCCCTGATCCCAGCTTTCATACCTTTTTCTTTTCCTTATCTCTGGTCCTCTCCCCCAGGACTGAAGAATGGTTTGCTCGTTCAGGCCGCACCACAGAAACATAGTCAACCATAACAAGATCTCACGACCTATGGTTCAGTCTTGTTACCGAGCGTGGCGTCCTAGTCTCAGTCCTGCATAGCTTATTTCCTGAGAGTTCATTCTAGAGCCTCCAGTGAAGGAATCAGTGTCTTCAGGATGAAAAGACTCGGGTGAGCTCGCGCTGTCTAAATGGAAAACTGAAACGCCAACAATTAAGAGTGGATAATTAATGTACCTCCGTTTTCTCTTTTTTTATGTTTTAAGCTATTTTTATTTTTCATTTAATTTATTATGCTTTTTTTCTTTTTTACACACCAGCCCCAGATCCCTTTCTTCCCCTTCTCCCACCCCTTCACCTCCCCATCTACTCTTCAGAGGCATTAAGACCCCCCTTGGGGAGTCAACAAAGTCTGTGTACCTGAGTTTTCAAGATAGATTTTGTAAGAAAATAGTGTTATATTTCTAGCGTTATCGAGAGTGGGTTAGACTTAAGCTATCAGGGCTATTTGTTTGGGATGTGTATATGACGTTGGAGCTGGAGCCCAAACACATTAAGCAAGTGTCCATCGCTGAGCTATGCTCACAGCTTGTTGTTTTGAGACAGGCTCTTGCTATGTAGACCTGGGTTAGCCTCAAACTTGCCATCCTCCAGTCTCAGCCTCCCAAGTGCTATGCTTACAGGAGTGCACCATCATCTTAGACTGAGTTGATTTGTTTTTAAAGATTGACTTATTTTCATGTGCATACATACCTATTTATTTAGTGTACAGTGTTCTGCCTGCATGTGCATCTGCAGGCCAGAAGAGGGCGCCAGATCTCATTACAACTGGTTGTGAGCCATCATGTGGTTGCTGGGAATTGAACTCAGGACCTCTGGGAGAGCAGCCAGTGTTCTTAAACTCTGAGCCATCTCTCCAGTCCCCTGAGTTGATTTCTAAAAAAGTTTTATTACATTTGCTATTGTTCTATTTGTGTGTCTGTGCACACGCGTGTGTACAAGAGTGCCATCGTATGCAAATGGGAGTCAGAAGGAGTTGGTTCTCTCCTTCCACCTTGTGAATTCAGGTCATCCAGTTTAGTGGCAAGTACCTTAACAGGCTGAACCATCTTGAAGGCTCAAGATCTTTGGTTTTGAGATTTTGTTTATTTGTTTGCTTTTTAAGACAGGAAGTCACGAACCCCAGGCTGGCCTTGAACTTGTTATGAAGGTGAGCATGACCTTGAACTTCTGATCCTCCTGCTTCCACTTCTACGACGTTGGAATTAGAGGTGTGAGCCGCCACACCGAGTTAACTTGGTGCTGTGTCTGGAATCCAGGGCTTTATCCGTCCATGCAAGGCAAGCATTAGACCAGCTGAGTCACAGCCCCAGCACCCGGCCGATTTTTTAAAATTTATTTATTTTATTTTCTGTGCATTGGCGTTTTGCCTGCGTGTCTGTCTGTGTGAGGGTGTTGGATCCTGGAGTTACACAGACAGTTGTGAGCTGCCGTGTGGGTGCTGGGAGTTGAACCCAGTCTTCTGGAAGAGAAGTCAGTGCTCTCCACTGTTAAGTCATCTCTCCAGCAGCCCCCTCCCAGGCTGATTTTTTATTTAAGTGTTAAGAGCTGAGTGAAATCAGAGCAAGAGATTTTTTTGATTTTCATAGATTTCCATTTATTAGTTTAAATAATAATTTTATTATTAATAATTAATACTTTCACAGCATTAATGATAGCAAACATATCTAAGTTATGGTTCTAAATTAGGTGACTTCAGTGAAAACTTTTAATAATGTTATAATATTTTTATTCAATAATAGTACATGTTTCACAATTTCAATATAAGTAATTTAATTGCTGCACGCTAGTATACAGAAATGATAAACAATAATAATAACAATGTAATAATCATAAGGTACCTATATGATCTAAGAGTAAATAAAATTCATTTTCAAGTAGAGTGGAAAGGATATAACCTAACAAGAAATTAAATGATGGTGATTCTGTCCCTGTGAACTGGTGTACAGTTAGTGTCTTTAAGTCTAAAGTAATTTAAGGAAATTGTCGTTTGAGGCCAAGTGGAGCAGCATCACACCATGCTGTACAAATTCGTATTTAATCCTGGAGATCTATGTTGCCAAAAAAAAAAAAAAAAACCACTGGTAAGCAATTATTTACTGAGGAGAACGAGCAAAGGAATTCAGTTAAACATCTACCACCATGTTGGTAACTTGCCAAGCCCTTTGTTGTTATTGTAGCAAATTCAAATGAGTAATATGTACGAGAAATATCAGATTGAAAATGAGAAATCATTATATGAAGTGTTCTGTGTTCTGAGTTAATAATTTACCTACTGTTTTCCAGCAGGAACTTTGGTGACATGTTTCTTCACTCTTACAAGAACAGAACGCTACATCTTACATTTTCTGACATATGAGCAGTCCAAAACTTTGTTTCATCCCAGGTATTTTGTAGAATATGCCCAAACTGAATGCAACATTCCTGTCTCATTCATTTCAGTGTATATATATATATATATATATATATACTTTTCCTTGCTGCATTTACCAGATTCCCTTAGTGAGCAAGAGATTTTAAACCAGAGTCAGGGTGTTTCTGCCTTTCCTTAGTCAGTAGCCCCAGATTTCTCATGTTGAAGGCCCACACTCTTTAAAACAGAACTAATTTGTTGGTCCCTTGACTCTTTTCAGTAAACACCCTCAGTATGGCAGAGGCAGGTAAGGAAAATGAAGATGAGTCAGTCTAGTGGGGTCAGTCAAGCACCAGCAACCTAGCGATGGAGATGTGCCTAGTGCTGGTGCATTAGGCTCTCAGGAAAGCTGACAGATGGCTGGATGGCTTGGTTATGATCGGAGGATCCCTCAAGGGGCTGCAGGGGAGAGTTTAATCACCATGTGAAATGCTGAAGGAGAAGCTAAGCCTGGTGTTCAGAGGCGGGCTTGGGAGGTGATTAGGGTGGGGGAGTGTCATCAAGAGAGACATTCATGATTGGATCCTCATGGCTTTGTAAGGCAACGCTACACACACAGAGCATGCTCCTTATTTCTTGCCATGTGATATCCTATGTCAGTCTCAGAGACATCTTAGACTTTGGCTCAGGATCGTATGCCCAAATGATCCCGTTTTTATAGTATTACTCTGAGAGGCCGAGGAGACAGCTCAGTTGGTAAAGTGCTCACCTTATGAGCATGAGAACCTAAATTTGATTCTCAGAACCCACATTAAAACAAACAAACCCTTGCCGGGCAATAGTGGCACTCGGGAGGCAGAGGCAGGCGGATCTCTGTGAGTTCGAGACCAGTCTGGTCTACAAGAGCTAGTTCCAGGATAGGCTCCAAAGCCACAGAGAAACCCTGTCTCTAAAAAACAAAACAAAAAAAACCCTCTGGAGGCAGAGGCAGACAGATCTCTGTGAGTTCAAGGCCAGCCTGGTCTACAGAGTGAGTTCCGGACAGCCAGGGCTACATAAAAAAACTTTGTTTCAAAAGAACAAAAATCGGGGCTGGAGAGATGGCTCAGAGGTTAAGAGCATTGCCTGCTCTTCCAAAGGTCCTGAGTTCAATTCCCAGCAACCACATGGTGGCTCACAACCATCTGTAATGAGGTCTGGTTCCCTCTTCTGGCCTGTAGGCATACACACACACAGAATATTGTATACATAATAAATAAATAAATATCTTTAAAAAAAAAAACAAAAAAAACAAAAGAACAAAAATCAAAACAAAAACCTCAAAGACATTAGATGTAGGGACTCACACCTTTAATCCCAGCACTTGGGAGGCAGAGTCAGATAAATTCAAGGCCAGCCTGGTCAACATAGTGAGTTCCAGTTCAATCAGAGAAACACAGTGAAACCCTGTCTCAAACAAGACAAGACAAAAACCAAACCAATAAAATCCCAAATGGACTGACTGTACCTGAGGAATAACAGCCAAGAGTGTCTGTGAACTGCACATCCACCCACACAAAATATGTGAGATTGAACACATGCAGTAATGTACACACGCACACACATGTATTGGTATGGTACTTATGGTATGTTATGGTAGAGTGTCAGCTCAGTAACAACATTTTCTTGAGCCTGAAACAGAGCTAGAGACCTGCCTCCTTGAGCTGTCCTGTGCGGGAAGCCTCCATCCCCAATCTCAGCCACACCAGTAAAGCCTCAGAGCTTCAGAAAGCTTGTCCCGGAAACTTGCAGCATGAGTTGCGTTTTAACAGTCTGCACTGGACCAGCAGGCCTGAGGGCACCTGTGTTCTAAAGGCCTTGGGTCTGGAAACCATCAATTCTTACCAGTTGGTAAGAATGACAAGGAGCGAGACTGGAGAGATGGCTCAGTGGTTAAGAACGTTTTATTGCTCTTCCAGAGGACCGGGGATGGATTGCCAGTGCCCACGTGTCAAGTCACAACTGTCCGTAATTTTAGTTCCAGAAAAATCTGGTACACCCTTCTGGCCTCCACAGGCACCAGGTACATACGTGCTGTGCAGACATGCATTCAGGCAAAACACCAATGCACATAAAATAAAGGCTAGAAATAAAAACAATTAAGAAAGAAGGAACAAGAGGGCTGGTCGTGGCTTTCTACCTCAAGCAGGGTTTAAATTCAGCTTATAGGGTGAGCATGTGGCTCCGTGGCTCCTGGTTCCATCCCCTTGAACCAGGGGAATTGTTTCCAGGATGGAAGAGAAGTGACAGCCAGTCTTGGAGCCTCCATTGACCTAAACACAGTTCATGTAGCCAGAAGCTGTCAAAATTGGACAATGTAACGTTCTTGTAAGACAACTGTTGTAAGATAACTGACTCAGATATTCAGCAGGGGGCTGGCATTTCTAACCAGTGACCCACAGTGGGCAGGCAAACTGATGCAGAAGGGCAGCTGCACTCACTGGCACTGGGATCGTTCTGGCCTAATGCAGGGAGAATTCTATAGGTTTCCATTCCTGCTCTGAGAGACTGCCCTGGAGCTCAGCCGCAGAGCTCAAGATATCTGCCGTGGTAAAGGTAGACATACATACAGAGATACTCGGTATACATACACACAGAGCCTGACTCTGGAGATGGAGCTTGAAGCCCTGCTTCTTTGGATAATTTTTGCATAACTGAGAAAGTGAACGTTCCCTGGAACTCGAATTTCCTGATTGTCCAAGGGAGAGGATGGCAGCTGTGTGAATCAACCAGGACACTGAGCGCATGCTGCAAGATTTTGAAATGTCATCTCACATTCTCCTCTCAGAAAGTTAGACGTCTTAAACGGCCTGCCCAAGAGTTCAGCCAACACCAGAGCAGGCGCTTGGTATGTGTGCTTGCTTTGGCTCTCGGCAAGCAGGTGAGACGCTGGGAACTGGCTCCGTTCCATCTGGGAATTCCACAGCCAGGTGGGTCTGCTCTCCAAGCCTGACTTGAATGTGTGCACCAGTCCCAGAGGAACTAACAACTTGGGGATGACTCACCCTGGCTCATTGCAGCAGGAGACCCCTCCTCCCTGCCACTTGGGCCAAGGCCTGGTTGCTCAGCAACGAGACATAATATATATAAATAAAATGCAGCTTCTTGCTTCAGGAGGGAGGCCTGATGTCTTCTTGTTTCTCCTGTCCATTCGTCCCCCTACTAGCTTGCCCAGGTTCATTGATTCAATGCTCAAAGCCCTCGCTACAACAACGAGTGGTGGACTCTTAATTGTGGGTGCTGGGTTCTGCAGTCGCCCGATGAGATAAGTTGCCTCGGGGTGGTGCAGAAGGGGAGAGGCTTGGCAGGTACCCTGGACTTTACTGCCTGGATTACTGGACGAGGGCGGCTTGGCTGGACGTGAGTGCCCGACCCTGAATCAGAAGGGCAGGAGGTGCCCCAGGCTTCTGCGGGGAAATGGTGTCCACTTCCCACGCATGGGTGGGACTTATGCTACCATGGAATCACCTGACGGCAGGGACTGCCTGAACGGGCACCTGCACTTGTCTCTGGTGACTCATTTTATTTAGGTGCACAACACCTAGATCCCTGGGCAGTACCTGAAAGTTAGTGCCCCAGTCAGATATGCACACAGACACAACCATTAGTTTAGGAAGCCTCTCTGGGGCAACACTGAACTTGCACATATATATTCACCCCTGAATCACACACATATCACTTCATTAATCTTTACAAAGACTTTGTGATTTTTTTTTTGGAGGGATCAACTTTATTACGGCTTAGTTTAAACCTTTGAGACCGTTTTAGATGCACACACAGATTTGACATCACAGCCTTCAAGACACATTGCTTCTTTCACAGAGAGTTTCCCTCGTTGCCCTTCCTAGACAGCCCACCAATGGCCTCTAGATAGGTCTTGTTCTTAGGAGAATTTAATATAAATGAAACCATATATGATGTAATGTTTTATCTGCTTTCTTTCACTTAGCACAGTGCATTTGTTGGCTAACTTTTAAGATTACATTGAGCTGTGTGTGTATGTCTCCATGCATGCTCCAGGTCAGAGGACGGCTTTCAGAAGTGAGTCTCTCCCTCCCTCATGTGGGTACCTGGGTTGGAACTCAGGTCCTCGGACTTTGGAGGCAAACACTGTATCCACTGAGTCATCTCACCAGCCGCATTGTGTTTCAACCCTGTTCACATTCTCGTTGATTTCCCCCCTCCCCTTTCTTTGTTAATCCACTAGTGGATATTCAAATTGCTTGGAGCTGTGTTAACAGTATGGGACACACAGATACAAGTGTTTGAACACATAGCTTCACTTCTCCTGTGGAAATACCTAGGAAGGGAAATGTTGGCTCCTTAAATGGGCACATTGTCATCCCTATTCTGTAGAAGAATGGTGCAGTCACAGAGAGGCTAAGCAGCTGCCAGGAGTTCAAAGCCATCACTGACCTCTTCTCTAGGAGTTCACCCTATCAATATAATAAAACAGGTAATGTGTGTGTGTGTGTGTGTGTGTGAGCAGATTTTTTTGTTTTTTTGTTTTTCGAGACAGGGTTTCTCTGTAGCTTTGGTGCCTGTCCCGGAACTAGCTCTTGTAGACCAGGCTGGCCTCGAACTCCCAGAGATCCGCCTGCCTCTGCCTCCCGAGTACTGGGATTAAAGGCGTGCGCCACCACCGCCCGGCAAGCAGATTTCTTTTAATAATTACTACACATAGGCTGAGTTCAAGTTTGTAGCTTTCATACCCTGACTGTCTTTGAGTACAAGTTACAACCACAGCAAGTACATGTCTTGAGGACCAATGAGCTTGAGCTGGAGGTCTATAGGAGCTGGGTTTTTTGGTTAGTTTTGTAAAGATAACATTTGGTAGTTATATTCTTTTGTTAGGAAGAGCATCTTAAGAGTCTGATTTTGCATTGCTGTAACAAAGTATGTGAGGCTGGGAAGTTTATCATGAGTATACGTTTACTTGACTCACAGTTTGGAATCTAGGAAGCCCCAGGGCACCCATATTGCCAGTGTTTGGTTGGTATCTGGTAAGGGTCTTCTTACTGCACTATGATAGGGCAGACACCACAGTGCCCTGCTAACTACAATCTCTCTCTTCCTGTACTTGTGCCCATGGAGGTCAGAGGTCAACTTTGGGTGTCTTCTTATTTGCTTCTCCATTTAAAACAAAACAAAACAAAACATTTATACGTGTGTGTGTGCTTGAATGAGTTTATGTGCACCATGTAAATACAAGAGACAGTACAGAAAGAGGGTATTAGTCCCCCTGGATCTGGAGTTACAGTGGTTCTGAACCACCATGTGGGTGCTGGGTACCAAACCCAGGTTCTCTGGAAGAGGAGCAATTCTGGGCCCTGCTTTCTTGTTTCTTTGTTCGTGTTTTGGTTAAGGTCTCATGTAGCCCAGGTTGACCTCAAAGTCAATGTTCAGCTGAGGCTAACCTTAACTGTCTCATTTTCCTGCCTTCACCTCTCAAGTGCTGGAATTATAGGCACACACCACCATACCTGGTTTATGTAGTGCTGGGAATCATGCTAACAAGCACACTACCAACTGAGCTACACCCCCCAGTCTACTATCACTGTTTTAATGTTGAACACCTTCCAGATGTGCCCCAAAGCAGTTCTGTTTCGTATCATTTTAGCAAGCTCTTGAACTCTGAGCATTTCCTTTCTCTCGGCTGTAAAAGGTTCCAAGGCTGTGTCCTTTTGAGCCAGTGTTGATTCTTTTCATAGGGAATGACACTTGGGAAACAAGGTAGGGGGCTAGATGAACTCGATACCGAGATATCATATCTTCTAGGCCACCTCAGGCTACAGGTTCTTAAGGGCCAGCTATGAGCCTGGGCTTGTGAGCTATGAGTTTAGGTACACCGGGAGTCCAGCAACAGGAAATCAGTAATGCACCAAGCTCATACATTTGTAGACATCTGCAGTGGTTTGAAAGAAAACGGCCCCCAAAGGGAGTGGCCCTATTAGGAGGTATGGCCTTGTTGGAGGAAGTGTGTCACTGTGGGGGCGGGCTTTGCTCAAGCTTCCCTCCGTGTGACTATCAGTCAACTTCCTTTTGCCTGCAAGATGTAGGACTCTCAGCTACTTCTCCAGTACCATGTCTGCCTGCATGCCACCATGCTCCCTGCCATGACAATTATAAACTGAACCTCTGAACTGTAAGCATGTCTGCTTAATTAAATTAAATTAAATTAAATTAAATGTTTTCCTTATAAGAGTTGCCATGATCAGCTGGGCAGTGAAGGCACATGCCTTTAATCCTAGCACTTGGCATGCAGAGACAGGTAGATCTCTGTGAGTTTGAGGACAGCCTGGTCTACAGACTGAGTTCCAAGATAGCCAGGGCCGTTTGACGGAAAAACCCTGTGTTAATAAAAACCAAAAACCAAACCAAACACACAAAAACAAACAAACAAACTAACTAACAAAAAAAAAACCGGTGTTGCCATAGTCATGGTGTCTCTTCACAGAAATAGTAATCCTAACTAAGACAACACCATTCAGCTTTTGCCTTAGCTTGAGCTAGTTCCATAGCAAAGGACTTGGTAGCTGGGCTCATGGTAGGGGGTGGATGGAGTAGGGAAGGCGTGGAGAGGAGGGGTGATCTTTAGAGTTCTGCGGTAGATCTGGGTCTCCCATGGACACAGAAAGCTTCAGAGTTGTTCTGACATGGGACATCTGTGAAGGTTATTTGATTGGCTGGTTTGTGAACCAAGAACGTGTAGGGTGACTAGTGTGTGAGGGAGAGGGACTTTGCTCTGAAAGAGCTGCTGAAGCAGGCGGCATTGGGTCCCTCTAGGCTGTGGATGGAGCTAAGGGCTGCTTGTCACTAGAGGCTTCTCCTCCCTTACCCAGATGGTCTGTGTCTACCTCAGTCCCAAGCACAGGGTGAACACCCCCTCTTTGGGAAGCCTATGTGTTTTTCTGTAGGACCATCTGGCTTGTAGACAGCAAGCTGAAAGTTTACGAGGGAGGCCAAGAGAATGACACTCTTTGGAAGGGCCCTGAGCAGCTCCTGCAGTACAGCTGGACTGGGGACTTGGTGGTCCTGGGGCCTCTCGGGACACACTCTCCCCTATGTAACCTCAGCTAGCTGGCCTGGGATAGAGGGCCAGTTTCACACGTGTCATTTAACTTCCAGACACAATCCCGGAAGGATCTGCATTGTGCTGGGTCGAGGGGCTAAAGAACCTGACAGAGGAAGGCATTAGGTTTGTCAGCTGGACACAAACTGGAATGTGAGAAGAGTCTTGATGGGAATTATCCATACTGGGTTGACAGTCCTGTGGAGGAGTGTCTTAAAGTTCACTGATATGGGATCCAGCCTCCCTTAGGCAGTAGCCTAGGCAGGAGTTTCTGAACTTTTGAAGAGTGGAGAGATAAAAGTGAACGAAAGCAAGCAAGCAAGCAAGCAAATGGACATTCATATTTCTCTTCTTTTTGTTTGCTTGTTTTGTTTTGAGACAGGGTTTCTCTGTGTAGCCCTGGCCATCCTGGAACTCACTCTGTAGACCAGGCTGGCTTTGAACTCAGAGATTTGCCTGCCTCTGCCTCCCTAGTGCTGGGATTAGAGGCGAGCACCACCACCACCCGGCTCGTTTTCCTGCTCTTAACTGTGGAAGGGATGTGACTAGTTATTCGACGTTTCTGTCTGACTTCACCACAGTGGTGGATTATAAACCGGGATTTTGAGCAGGAACCCCTTCATCCTCTAAATTGCTGTTTGTCAAGCAATTTAATCACAGCCGATAGACCTAAAACCAGGCCAGAAGGTGATTCATTCTCCCTTCCTTTCTGTCTGTGTGGCTTTCCATGATGGGATGAGGAGAGAGCAGAGTTCAAAGAGGCTGGGAGTGCTTGGAGTGGGGTGGGGGCCCCAGTGCTGGGAGAAGCAGCTGGAGATGACAGGATGGAGAGACACTCCAGGACATTAGACAATGAATGTGCAACCTGAAATGAGGGCCTCTACCAGGTGGGTTCTACAGTCCTAAGGTCTTCTGACTGATCCAAAGTGTCTCTGGGGCCTAGTATGACCACCAGCCTTTTTCTGACATCTTTGCCTATGAGAATAACTGGTGATCACCTTCTTAGGCGGTCAGGATACCTGTGAAAAGT